CACTTCACCATTGATAGTGTTCACTTTCACCATTTGATGGTGTTCACATTCATCATTTGCTTGTTAATCTAACGTGTTACAATTCTTTGATTCACCATTTAATTTATCCATGTTTGGTTTCAGCGGGTGCAGCTAATAAAGTTGGTTACGCTTTCGGATTAGGACTGGAAAGATTAGCTATGATTTTATTTGGTATTCCGGATATCCGATTATTTTGGAGTGAAGATGAGAGATTCCTATCGCAGTTTAAAGTAGATGACCCATATGATGTCAAATTTAAGGTATTAAAGATTGTTTACACTGAAAATAAATATGTTCATTCAAAGCTGCAATTTTGTGATTATCTTGCAATTAAAACTAATAATATGTTTATCATGATGTGTTATGATGCTAAATAACATGTATTAGTGAAACTTTTCAGAAGATCACGTGTTATTTTAAAATAAGTAAATAATAACAAATGTGCTGACCATTCGACTCAATCAACCGCATCGTAACGTATACTTCTCTTGCAGCCCTTCAGTCGGTACCCACAGCTACGTAACGACATCTCATTCTGGTGTCCAGATGGCTATCATTCTAACGATTTCTACGATATCGTACGTTCCATCGGTGGTGACTTAGTGGAGCAGGTGACATTAATTGATGAATTTGTGCATCCTAAGACTCAAAGACTGAGTCATTGTTACACAGTAATTTACAGACATATGGAGAAAACACTTACACAGAAAGAAGTGAGCATTCTACATGGTAAAATTGCTACGGTTGCTGAGAATATGCTCGGAATTGAAGTTAGAAAGTAATAAGAATCCTACCTTTTATCTACTCAGTGCCCAGATGTACAAATTAACATAAATAAGGTTCAGGTCAGAAAGTCGTAACAAGACAAGACAAAGCTGGTCCCGATTTTTTATCCCTCAAATGTATAAACAAACATCTTTTGAGCACAACATTTATGTTTTATTCACTGATCCTTAAAACATGTAAGAAATCGAAAGCATCATAAAATAATTGATGAATAGAACTCTAATCGGATTGTATTTGATACATTCCCCTGAATATATTGCAACAGTGTTAATTATAGATCAAAACTATGCAGAATAATTTTTCCCAGGGGGTCCTTATTAATTTTTCTTTCCATGCCTATTCAGGGACTGTAACGAAATCATTCGGGATGACAATTTGCTGTATTCAGGCTTTTAACATATTCAACTTTTGATTTCAATTATTGAGAAAATGCTAAATACCAATGTAATAATGGATGTGTGTGATAGTCGTACTGAATCTAAGTTTGGTTTTGATTGTTGATTTTTGAGTTGTAACGTTTTGCAATGAACAGATTTTTAAAAATTGTTATACGTCATTGTATTGCAGATAATTGCATGTTGTAGAAATTATGTATAACGATTTTTGTAAAAGTACATCTGGGTGTAAGTAATTTAGTTTTGCATACATTAATTTGGATATTATTTATTACCTTATATGTAATATTTCATTTTTTTAATTAATCTTTCTGTAAGTCAATGATGTGTGTTGATATTTTTGGTGACAGTGTAACAAAATGAGAGTGTATCTGGTATTCTGGTGTGCAGAGAAATGACTGGCATCATCCACATAATGAAGTTGAGTAGCGACTGTATGGGGCATGTTTAGAATATATCTCCCAATTTATATCACTTTCTAAGGTGGTTGACAATTAGAATTTTAGAAGGACCAGTTGTCAATTTGAAACGTACTGCAGGTCCATGGCATGTTTTTTGTATCAGTCAAAAGGACCTGTTGGTTTTCAAAACTACCAGTTCTACACAAGGTCAGTTGGCCTTGGACCAAATTACAGATATTAATTTCCGTTTATTTTTACTGGAATTAATTTTTGCTGAAAATACTTTTTGAGTGTTTTGTATGGGATTTATTTTCACTGATTTTTGGGAGTTGAATGTAAAATATAGGAAAAAAGGTATATTCGCTGAATTTTATTTTCACTGTATCACTCCTTCAGCGAAAATGAATTCCAAGCGAAAATAAAGTATTTTACAGTAACTGTTCATCTACCAGATCTCAGATTCAGAGCCCAGATGGCTAAAGCTAAAGTAATAGATGTTGTACAGTACCTACATTGTAGCTCAGGTAATTTAGGAGTATACGTGTAGTGATCACTGCTGGGATAGATAATTTTATGGTGTTATCCCAAATTTACAGAAATGCCTGGCAACTGAGATGAATCGTAGAATAGCTGTAATAGAATGCTTATTGAAACTTGAACATACTATCTGCAGTTATAAACTCTAGTTTATATAAAGCAGTAACAATGATAGGCACCACTGTGAATGTTGTAAAAGTTTGATATATGAAACAACAATGAAAGGTAAATCAGATCAAGGTTTGTGAAGGAATTTGTCCAACTGAGAGTAATAGGAATGTATTACCATACTTTGTTACACATCAGCATTTTACAGCACTGTGAAAATGTGTTCAGCTCCGATATTGTATTGGGGGGGGGGGGGTGAGCTCTGACCGTGTAATTTATTTCATCTAATCCTATAAACTGATGAATGACAATGGAAAGTTATACAAATTAAACAAAATGTACTGATGCAGTCTTGCATGTCAAATAACAGTTGCTGGTGTGTCTTGTGCCAAACACCATGCTCTCGTAAAAGTGGTTTGAACTAACTAGTTATAATCATGTAACGATCTCAAGATTGCAAACCAGAAACCAGAAAATATTTCTCTTTTGATGTTCAAAACGTGGCAGTGACAGTAGTCATATATTCTACTATACATTCTACCGGTACCATAGCTTTATAAATACTAGAAGAACAAGAGGAAACCATTCATTTGATAGTAAAATTTAATATTAAGAAATTCATACATATAATATGGAGCTTAATAAATTTACATCCACAATATACAAGTGATAATTCCACCCAATTAATTAGCAAACTTATTCTTGATCATAGGCTACAATTACAAGATGTGACATACAGGTTTTAGGTAAAAAAAATGATAATTTATGCTGGCAGTAGAAAGGATGTTTTGAAATGGAAATACCGTATTCACAGGTGGAGCCAATACCGGTACCACCAGGGGGGGGGGGGGGTGTGGAGATAATAAACTTAATCTTTGGTATAAAAATGATTTGAATGCTGTATGTCATTAATCTTAAAATTACACAATCATATTATATATAAAATTTATGACTTTTCTTAGTTTGGCATAATAGTGACAAAACTATGTACATATACAACTTATAGCTGACCCATATTTATAATAAATTTATGAGGCTCTGTCATCACATATATACCAGTAGTAGTAATTTTAACAAACAACATTTGACTATCATTTCTGTTTAGTGCTTTATCATTATTATTCTTAACTTAGGCTTTCATGAAATGAATAAAAATGATTGAAGTTCTCAATATGGCCTACAGTAAAAGCAGTGTTTTGACTAAATATGTACTGATTATTTATATAGTCATATAACGTGTATCAATGAACTGTACCCAGTACTGGACTCCAAGTAGTAATGTCCTGAATGGAGTTGAAATGTTGTCATGGTAGTACAGCTTTAAAGTGCCTGTGCAATGCCCATCCTCACGTTTCCCATTTCAGATCTGTGTCCCACTGAAATGGGCAGTTATTGTTTTTTTCGCTGAAAATGATTACTCGTATCCAAGTAAATTTGACACATTTCTCGTGTTGTAGCCACGCCCACCTATCCTGAAACGGTCGACTGTTTCCGGATTTCCGACTCTCGCCGAAAGTGCGCCACTAAATGACAAAAATGTGAGAGGAAGTCATACCCCCGAGCCGTAATTACACTGAACATTCAGTATAGTTTTAAACGATATACACTTTTCGGTCGGCGTTTTTTCTTTTTTTTTTTGTCTATTTAATTTTTTTTTCAGAGAGTTTTTAGATGTGTTGTGGGCAGTTGCAGTGAAACGTATAGTCATAGTGTATGTATTCACACGTTTCTAATCGATCCGAAGGTGCGGCATCAATGGACGAAGACCACTTAACCTCAGATGCTTTTTTTGTGTGGAAAAACTGTCCTCCTCCATGAAAAAACAAACAAACTAGGTTTAAAGAGAAACTCCAACAATGTAAACCTGGCGCAACACTTTTGAAAGAAATAGATTACGGACCAGCACATGATCACCGAGACGGATTTTAGAAGAGAGAGAGACGTCCGGCAAGTGTTTCAAATGAGTTGACTTTTTTTTGCGATCCTGATTATCGTTTTATATAGATCATTTAGTCCCAGTTAAGTAAAAGGTAGCAATAATTTTGACAGTGACATGAAAACGAAGCATCAAACAAACAGGAAATTACACAGCCCTTACACACTGCTAATTGTTTTCATTTTCGAAGGCTGAAAGTTTCTGAATTGTTTGGTGATTGGTGTTGAACGACGAATTCACACCTCTGTTCTTATTTTACCTCCATGTTTGCAGCTTGATCTGAATAATAATTTATGAAATAAGAATCCGGGCTTGGTCAATGTGTTTCCACCAAAGTTTTAATATGATGTTATAATTATGACAATCACGCCATGGATCACGCTAACTCGAATCCACTCTGAATTTATCTGTATGTGTGTCCATCTCGATTATTTTTGTTGTCCAATTGAACGCCGCTTTTAACGCACTTGCCCTCGTCGTGACCCGATGTGTTCACCTATTTCAACAAAATATCAATTTATTTCCACGCAACTGTCATTTATTTAGTAACTGTGATTTGTCGTTTTTTTTAATTACTTTATAGTGATCACTATAGTCTAATGTTTAGAATGTCAAAATATGTTCTCTTTTATTTTAATTTTGAAAGTTTTACCCAGACGATCGATGAAATAAAACAGTGTAGTGACGTGCCTAGTAACCTGCTAAATAACGAGATAATACCGACGTCAAATTCTATTTTGTTCAGCGACAGTGTACAAACGTGTGCCAGTGTCGGTGACGATCACGGTGACCAGCTACACCAGAACGGACATGTTTCGCATCTAACTCAACCCCATGCAACAAAAATTGATACTATGTGTTCATTATGGTCCATTCTTCCTCGACGAACAAGTACATAAATGACAATTTAGTCAAAGACGAGAAAACTGCACAAGAAATTTGCCTTATTTACACATATCGGCAATGCAAGCTGCCATGCGACTTCCCCTTCTGACGTCAAAAGGGGAATTTCTGTATGCAAATGAGGAGCCTTGTTTTAAAATACACAAAAATAAAGTTGCCGTAGACTGAGTTTAAAACACATTTTTTCACTTAAAAAAAATAATTCATGCTTAGAAAGATAAAAATTAATAATATTTATGTATCAATGGATAATTTTAGGCGTGAAAATAGCAGCCATTTCACAGGCACTTTAAGTTTGACTGTACTACCCAACTTTAACCATGGCTGCATGCAGTGTTTAATACAGTACAGCAGTGTTACACACATTATTCATGGTTTGGTTATATTCTTCATATCCGTCAGAATCAACTGTCTGTAATTCTGTTCCAATTGTTGCATGTATTCTAGATGTGCTCCAACTTGAAATCCTCTAATAGGTTCCTCCTGTAACAAAGTAATAGGTCATTGGGAGAAAATATGGATTAGATTGTAACTGATTGGCTAACCAACCCTGCATCTAAAAAGGTTAGCCAATCAGGGAGCATCTTGTTTGTAGCCAGTGAAATTCAATGCAAAATTTAATGTATATCGCATTTTAGATTGCAATACAAATGCATGTGCATATGTACATTGTGAAGATGCAGAAACGCACCCACAAAGGTTAAAACATACAAAATCTCTGTTTTCGGACTTTCAGGCTCAATAAACTGCAAGTCATAAGGTAACAATTGCTGACAGAATTGTGAAGATTGCCATTCACTTACCTTGAAGTAAACCTGTAAATTTCTGTTTTGTGCATGTGTCAATATGTTTTGTTGTAAATACCGGAATATAGCAACACACATGTATACTTGGTAGTCTATACCCATAAGAACACACACACAAATATAGTGACAGATATCTTGCCAATCCAAGTAATTCCAGAAGCACTGTCGCAACCAATGTAAGCAAATCTGAAATTAAGATGTCATTGTGAGTGTTATCGTTCATGATTTGCTGTTTTGAAAAATTATTTGATTATATGCAGTAACTTGGTTATGGCATGGCTAATGCTGCATGTGCACTTGTTATCTTTATAATGATCCTTACAAATACATGAAAACATTTATTAAAACACTGGCAACTTAAAAAACGACTAAACTAAATTTCAGTAAGTCACTCAAACAAACTCAAACTCTATGCTGCAAATGAAGAAGCTCACAAATAAATTCAAACTCTCTATTGCTATTTTACTCAAAAATGAAAATGTCATAAAAAGTCTGTAACTTAGGGAGGATCACACCAGCTGTTTTTATTTAAATTGCAAGTATTAGTTGTTGCTCAAAAAATGTTTGCAATTACTGTCCACATGGGTCTTTGTTTCACTCGCAAACAGGATCTCCAAAAGGCACATTGTCTGTTTGGAGAGTCTCATTTCTGGTCACGCAGTTTGCAATCTGGAGGGAGTCGTACACATGAGGGGGGGTGGGGTGAAATGACATGACAGTCGTTCAAGGTTCAAGGAATGTAAGTGGATTAGTGATATAATCAATGAGAAATCCATGAATGGTCTTGTGATATGTACATAATTTCAAGAATATCTTTCAATACACATGCACTACAACAACTGTTGGAACACGAACGCTATATGTAATGGAGGACATGACTTGCCTGTGAGGGGGTATATCCACACATTTTTAATGCTGAGAATGCTAGTGGTACTTCCATTTGTAATAACAATTCAATATTATGGCCGGTAGTAGAAAACAATGGACTGATTCCACTGCTAGTCAGGTGACGAGGAACCAAAGCCTATAGAAATAAAAATAGATAACCTCATTGTCAAAATACACACCAGGTAGGATTGCATGGTCTGATAACTGATTATCAATCACATCTTACAGAAGTATAAATCTATTTGATAAATATTGAAACAAAACAGAAATCACTCAATACTATTGATGATTCTGTCTCACAAATATTACAAATTCACACAATGCTACAGGATCAATCCCCATGTCCAATCCCCAACTATAGATAAATGGTCAGAAAACGGTGGACACTTATTATCTAGTACAAGAAAAATACTGAAAGTGTCATGCCTAATGTAAGCAGATATGTTACAACAAGAAGTATAGACTCATCAGTTACATATACTTACCGATTTATGTAACCTTGGCAACCAGAGATATCCTGATGCTACCAGTGAGGAGAATTTGTGGAGTAAGTTCCAACTCTTATCTCGGTTACCTGAGCACATTAGAAATAGAGTAGAAGCAAACCAATCATGTCCCATGTAGTCTTGCTGTAAAAAACCTAAGAACAACAACAGTCAAGGAATTTAACGAAACAGAAGTAGTCTTTACTGAATATGCAATCTAGTTATACAAGAGTTACAATAAATCAAATCACATCAAATCAAATAATGTTTATGCAAATGGTTGATAAAATCATGAGCCATTCCCCAATTTTTGACTCCTGTGTGCAAAGCACACAATGGGAGTCTTTGCGGTTAGTGCATCTGTGTGTGCATCTGTTCCACTGATATCTCAAGAACCAATAATCAGATTTTAATGAAACTTTAATGTTCACTTGCTTCTCGTGCACCATTAAACAAATTTCAATGAAACTTGATACATACACATGTAGATGCTTAGAGATAAGCCATATACATGTTCAGTTTAGGATTAAATTTTGTGCTCACTAATTACCTAATTTGCATAAATTTATATCTTGAGTTCCACTGATCAAATTTTAATGAAACTATGTACATAGATACTTTTAAATTATCCACAGATCTGATTACGTGAGGGTTAAAATCCATGAATATTAATTACCTGTTATTATTTTCGTGTGTATTTCCTAATATGCATAAATGCAATGTACCAAGTATAGGGACATGCAACCAGTGCTATAATTGTGTTGTCTGACAAACAATATGATCAAAATATCAACCCATCATATATGATGATTATATCATTAAATATTTGAATTGTTGTTATATTGCTGTTATATTTTTTAAATACTGTATTTGCTCTATTAGAAGCACATTACGAGTGCTTTGTGTAAAAATATAGGACAAAGACTATGGTCAAAATAAGTATTTCAATAATTTTGCATGCAATAAACACGATTTTTGCTTTATGTGTATTGTTGATGTTCTTTTAATATAGCATTTGTACTTCATGCCTCCAATACCTTCAGCACATGAGAGTTCTTCCTAAGCTTTCTTTGATTAATAATGTCTATTAAATTATGAGCCTTGTTAACCAGACAGGCCCTGCAAGCAATTAAACCTAATCAAAAGGTACAAAGGATACGTATGTCTGAGTTGACAGTTCTCTGTTGCTGCTGTTGTCTGAGATAATGTCTACACTGTTTCAGTAACATTGTCAGCTTTTCATTGCTTTCATTGTTGTTATTTAGTATTTTAAGATGCAGACCATACCTGTGTGGTTAAAGACATGTAATGAGTGATTATAATATAAGCATTATGCCAACCAATTCTATGCATTCTTAGCATTCTGCTAAGCATGAAATACCAACTTATTTAGCCACTTAAAAAAACAGGAAAAACACAACATAATGAAAGATCACAATATTGTTTTTAAATTCATATAGAAAATAGAAATATACTGCTTATTATGTAACTTATTAATTAAACACACGTTTTCCTGATGTTTACTTTTCTGCAGACAAGTGCACAAAGTTTCCTGGTGCACAAAAATTCCTGGTGGCAAAGTGACACACCTTGTTATAGCCAAATCTAAAATGACTGGCAGAAGGTTAGCAGAAGGCCAGACTAGCTATGAGATGGTAAAAAAATTGAACATACCTGACTGCCATTCTAATACCTGATATTTGTACATCAGGTAATTTATGGGCTTTCAGTTGACTATCAGTTGCATTGAAATTCTTCTGGGGAAATATACTCTCATCAGGATTTTTCAGCTGAGCAGCAACAACTCGTTCCAACATATCAACTAACACTGTCATCAAAATAGACAATGTAATTACTATATATACATCAGGCAATTTGTGGTCATTATACACATGGCTCATCAAATCTAAATGCTTCGTCTCTCAATATTTATTATGTAGAGGAGGTGGGGGAGGCACCATACCCCATTAAGATACAATGTTCAAATTCACTGACATTAATGCTTAACCTAATTTCGCTTGCTAATACTTTTTAATAATGTTGCTGTGTCCATTATTTTTTTGAAAGCACACATTCCTTATCTTTTTTCATTGGCAAAATTACACATATGTGTAATCTAAGATTAAATTACAGGCATTCATAGTTGTATAACTGACTGGTGGATTTATCTAACATATGATCGCGTCTACTACTATATGAATTACTGAACTTACCCTTGCCTGTAGCGAGATCTGCTTTCCTTGTCAATAAACTACAGAAGGCTTTTCTACATTTATCTAACCACAGTGAATTCACATCTTCATTCCTGCTACTAATGAGGAATTTAGACAGCTCATTTTCTGGAAAGACAAGAGATTAATATGTCAGTACAAGTAATGCTGTTGTGTTCAATGTATCTAAACTGTTTAAAATAAGTAGAAATTAATAATCAGACCACTTCCTGTGGCACTATTCACATATCCCACCGAAAATATAATCAACAGTATACATGTATTCTTAGACTAATTGTTTTTGATGGGGACAATAAAGTAACCACTTTATAGAAATATGCACTGTCATTTATCATTTAAATATCATTTTGGATTTTTGGATTTGTATCGCTACAATCTCGGTCGAGATTTGAAACTGGGTATATTTTGAAAAATAAAATAAAAATGTGTACCTTGTTTCATTGCTGATGGTCTTGTCAATGATGGTGTATACTTCTTTGGTACTGGGAATTGTGAGAAGAGTGGCCATGGGTAAGGATCATCGCCGTTATTCAACATACGTGGTGGTAATATTCTTTCGGATGGTCCACCTACCACATGTGTTCGTACTAGTATATGGTTGTTTTCTACAGACACCATGTCAATGATGAACTCATTACTCCTGTTAAAGGGAAATATTCAAATATCAAAACACTATATAGACCTCCTAATTCTACTGCATGACTACAGACCTACATCATGCATAGCACCGAAAAACGATAGACATTTTGTAAAAGCCAAACTTGCATTCATTCAAAAATATGTTTAAATATCCAACATTTGAAATTTCTTTTATTTGGGGGAAACTATGTTACCAACATGTTCCAGATTATTTATATCGCAACCATCAACTAACATGAATCTTATAAAATATCCTTGCCAGCATTTTGCACTGAATTATTATTAAAAGTGGGTAAAAAATGTTTAATAGTAAGTTTATAACAAGAACGCAGCAAAGTATGCACCCAGGCAGTACAGGATTGCATCAACCATCACTACCCATCAGTCAGTATTACTACCAAACTGCCTGTGAATACTTTGTGGCACTTTTTTAATAATCTCATATTACCGGGGGGTATATACAGTGTGTGGAAATCAATGGTGATTTAGCAATATTATATTATGATAAGTGAATATCACCTTAATGACATGAACTCACCCTTCCTCTCTTCTATTCAGCTGCTGCCCTTGTAACAGCATGTCAAGTATTTTATACTGAGTTTCCAGCAATAGAAGTGAATCCAAACAGCAACACATTATACTGAGAATCCTACAATCAAATGTTAATAGAATTTATCATTCAAATCACAAACCACATTCCAAATCACAGTTATTAGGACATTTCTACATTCTGTTACCCCATCCCCCACAACACCAAAACTCACCCACTTCTACCTTTATATAGCATAACAACAGACACACAGCAAATGATAATGTAGCTTGTCTTACCTGAGTCCAAACACATGAGATTGTTCCACGTTAAATAATGAATGAATTTTCCCAGGAGTATTCACCATAATGAGACGCTCAATTATGCCCTGAAACATATAAATGACAGCTTACCAACAGATATACAAGATCTATCAACTGAACACAAGGTGCCAGTGGTATAATAGCATTTGTTATGACTGCGTGAAACGTGTCAAAACCAGATGAGTGCAGAGAATGCTTTGAGAATGAATTATCAGCTAAAGTACAAACAATGACTGTAGACGTATTGTACAGTAATCCCTTTGAAGCCGATTTGAAAGCACTGCCACAGAGATGAGACATGATGGTAGATAATAAAGCACAGAATATTGATAACTTGTGGCAAACTAAAAATTTACATACACACACTATTCTGTCCTTGGTTGTATATCTTGAAACCACAAACACATACCAGGTATACTTACTGTGATAGTGGTAGGTATTTCCCTGAATGAATAGGAATCTCTCTCTGATAGTTGTTGATCTGCTATTACTTCATACACAGCAGGGTATGCTGATAATACATTTATCAGATTCATAAAAGACTGGAATAAAGACATACAGAAATATATCAAATGAATATCAAAATCACATTTAACCTTCCTATTGAGTCTGTGGCACACTTGCCCAGGATAGGAGTTTAATGTTCAACTTAGGTCTTCCAATCACGAGTCTGATACGACAACCACTATACTATCGGTTAGTAGTCCTTCATTCTCTTCTATTGCATTTACACTGATTTTTTTACTTACTTACATACATGTACACATATGTACACTGATGAAGAAAAGATTAGTTTATTTACCTTATGAGCTGCTCTATCAACAGCATCTATCGGTGTTGAAGTGGGTCTTACAATTCTCCTCTCATCTTGACTACATTCCAATACAGACCATAACACAGTCAGTAAAGCTTTGATGAAACCTGTCATAATACATGAATATCTCTCATGTCAATAATGTACAATATATCAAACAGTAGTAAACAAGATATTTCCAAAATAATAAAACACAAATCACCAAATCACTTTCACAAGGACAACTGGAAATCAAATGATGAATGTATCCAAGTACAGATAAATAGTTAAATATGAATTGTTAACCAATTAAAAACATACTTGTATACTTATTTAAATAAATTACTGAAAACCCTAACCTGTGCTCTGTAAAGCAACCATGCCTGGTGCAGTTGCTGCTACTTGAGTGACCATGGTACCATAACCAAATTTCTCATGTCTGCTAACCTGTGCATTAATCAATAATGATTTTTATAGATATACCAAGCATAATATATATTAAATAAATAAAAGTGTACAGCTTCTGAATACCAACGCTGATAATTATTTTTTTTTTGGCTCTGACTATGAATTGATGCATATGAACATAACACTTACCTGTAACTTTTTGGCATATCTGACATACATATATTCAACACATTCATTAATGGCTCCAGTTTGTTGTAATAATAATAAACCCTATAAACAATAATAAAACACATTTATAATGTCAAATATCATCTTTCTACATGCTTATTATTTATGTCCCACACAGTACTGTGAAATACTTTATTTTCGCTGGAATTAATTTTCGCTGAAAAGGCATTTTGGGTGTTTTGTATGGAATTTATTTTCACTGATTTTTGACGAGTTGAATGTGAAATATAGGGAAAAAACTATATTTGCTGGATTTTATTTTCACGGAATCATCCTTTCAGCGAAAATAGCAAAATAAATTCCAAGCGAAAATAAAGTATTCTACAGTAAATCAAATGTGACAAATAGCTACACTAGTAAATAATTTGAAAGCTTCACCATGATGTAAGTTGTTTACTATTATGTGAGCAAAAAACAACCCAACCAGCACTATTGCAATATAGCTCACTGTTTTGCAAACAAAATAGCAATATTGATAGTTCAAGTGTAACAGTTTGCAATGATAAGCTGATATCAATATTGATTTCCACACACTGTATACATCAGGTTATTAAACAAGCAGCCTATCAGCTGAGATAGCTCCGCTGTTAGCAATGCACATTTCAATTAAAGAACTGAAGACATGATTAGAAAATGAACAATATGAATAGTATCAAAGCAATCAGACTTACAGTTTTTAACAAGAAGTCGAAAATATCACTTTTTACCAAAAAATTACAAAAATATTCACCAAAATAAATTAATTAGAGAATTGAAGATATCATCACAAAACGAACAAATCTGAGAGAGGTCCACATGTAGTACCTATATATGTAATATCAAAGCAATCGGACTTACAGTTTTCAACAAGAAGTCGAAAATATCACTTTTTACCAAAAATGACAAAAATATTCACCAAAATTAGAGAACTGAAGATATCATCACAAAATGAACAAATCTGAGAAAGGTCTACATGTAGTATCTATATATGTAATATCAAAGCAATTGAACTATTGGTTTTTAACAAGAAGTCGAAAATATCACTTTTTACCAAAAATTACAAAAATATTCACCAAAATTAGAGAATTGAAGATATCATCACAAAATAAACAAATCTGAGAGAGGTCCACATGTAGTACCTATATATGTAATATCAAAG